ATCTTGATTTTTACTTTAAATATCTGAGAGGAGAATAATGTGCTGTGTTTCCCAAACTTATTTAACCACAGACCACTGCTTTAAAGAAAGGCTATTAAAGAACACATTTTTGGAATTACTAAAAGAAGTAGGGGTCTTCTTGACCATGCCTCTAGACCACAAAGACATAATTTTTTCAGAAGGATATCATTAGCTACCCTAAATACCGACTCTAGAAACATACTTGTTTTAAACAGATACTTTTAAAGTCCATATACCATTAGAATGTTTTTCTTTCTGCAGGAAGAAAGCAGACAAACTAGATTAATATCCTCGGAAGATCCCAGAGACCGTCCAGGGCCCTGCATCAGGAAAATGAAAGGACCCTACACTCTCAGTCCCATGAAGGAACTAAAAATGGGCTTTCCAATATCCAAGCAAAGTTGTAACTTCCAAGGGCAAACAACATTCTAGTTCATTGCAGTATCTGTGGTATCCCACAAGCGTCTGATTCCTCTCAGCACAGGCAAGAAATATGCACATATGAACAAGTAAAAACTTAACTGGAAAGAGACAACTCAAGCTCAGTTTGCTCCCTGTCTGTCACAGCAATACGTGCAAGAGATATCTCTGAGCATGAGGACACTGGCAGCTGCAATAACATAATGTTGGTTCTACTGTCTGACTTATAGTTCAGCTTGCTTCTCTTCCAAAGTCCTCATTTCACAAAGGGAGACTTACTAGCACCTAGACAGGCCATCAAATGCCTTCCCCAGGACCCACCATTCCTGGAATTTCCACCTTTTAAAATAAGATTGGGTCCCAGTTACTACAAATGCCTGAGAGTAGTATAGGATGTACTTTTACTTGTTTGTGTCTCATAGCCGATCTAAAGCTCCTTGGGAACAGCTGTCTCTCTCAGTTCCCAGCTCCGGTGCTCTGTACAGAGGGTGTCAGATACTTAGTAATGAATGACACTTGTAGAATGAATGAGGAATAGCATTAGGATGTGTAAATTCACTTACATCTTAGTGCGAATGAATTTCTTCAGGCCCTTTCCTAAAAAATGTTGGGTATAGCCGAAGCCGGTTTGGCTCAGTGGTAGAGCTTTGGTCTGCAGACTGAAAGGTCCCAGGTTCGATTCCGGTCAAGAGCATGTACATTGGTTGCGGACACATCCCCGGTAGGGGGTGTGTAAGAGGCAGCTGGTCGATGTTTCTCTCTCATATCTCTATCTCTCTCCCTTCCTCCTCTCTGTGAAATATCAATAAAATATATTAAAAAAAAAAAAAAAAGAAATGTTGGGTATATCATCAGTTACATATGAGTTAAGAGAACTGTGAAGAGAGCATGATCCTGAGAAAGATGCTCTCCCGTTCTTCCTGGGAACATCGTCCTGCTATGGATCAGACTAAAGAGCATGGTTCCTCAAAGGAAACCCCAGACTTTTGTTTGAATGCCATATGAAATGAGCTCATTTTTTTAAAAATATATTTTTATTGATTTTAGAGAGGAAGGGAAAGGGAGAGATAGAAACATCAATGATGAGAGAGAATCATTGATCGGCTGCCTCTTGCACACTCCACACTGGGGATCAGTCCACAACCTGCGCATGTGACCTGACTGGGAATCCAAACATGACCTCCTGGTTCATAGGTTGATGCTCAACCACTGAGCCACACCAGCAGGGCTGATGGTGTTTCTTCTTGGAAGTCTCTCTACACTTTAAAACCTACTTCCAGGAGACATTCACAATTGGCCTTTGTTTACTGATCAAGAAATGGGGACCCTGATCTTTCAGATGCCTTTTCTAACCTCAGAATTCCTGATGTAGTATTCAATCAATTGCTAATGTTTGAATTATATAACATAAAGAACATTGGATTAGCAAAATATTATCTAGCCAATGCAATATGCTCACTTGTTAAAAACCAGCTTCTGGAATCAGATAAACCTGAATTTGAATTCTGGCCCCACTACTTGCTCAAACTCTGCAAACCTGAGTTTCCACATCTGAAAAGAAAGATATCAAATGCAGCCTAGCCCATGGGGTTGCAGTAGGTTTAAATAAGAATGCATGTAAAGTGCTTAGCACTAGGCTGGCACATGGGAAATTCTCAAGAAATGTGAACGATCATTTGAAACCCTCAGTTCCCGTTTTACCACAACCTCCCTGTGTATCCTTGGACTAATCCGTATTGAAGAAGCTAATGAAAATGTGGAGACAATTAACTGCCCTCTAATGCTGGGATTATCCATCATAAATAGAGTAATAGAAAACGGACCAAAAACTTTGAAAAATAAAAGCCTTACGCAATTCTAGATATTTTGGGGGGTTGTCCTTGAAGCTTGCGTATGTTTGATCACAGGTGACTCAGCATCAGTGGAAAACCCAGACTTCAAAGCAGTATTCTCAATACGTCAGTGCCTTTTGTAGATGATGGACTCTATGAAACATCTGGTGGGGAAGGGGCTGAGGAGGCATCTCAGCATCAACTGACCCAATAACTATCTTGTCACCCTTTTTTCACAGATGAGATTAAATCCGATTTCTTTCTCAGACTTTAAAAAAATAGCTGTTATACATGTATCACAACCATGTCCAAATAAAGGCCAACGTTCTATCAAGCTGCTGTGTTAGGCAGGGCCGTTATAAGTGCGCAGAAGGCCCCTTTGTAGGAATTAGATAAAGGGCACCCAGAACAACAGCCTGATTTTCCGTCTTCACTTATCCTGAGTTGGGCACATCTGTGCAAGGGCATGACCAAACATGGCAATATGCAGATAGCACAAAGATCTTCAGTATTTAGCTGGCATACCCATATGACTGTTTATATCACACACAACACACACACACACACACACACACACACACACACACGGCTGAAAGTTGTCAAGAACTTAATTGAGTAAATGGAGAAAGATATTCATGAAAATGAAAAATACGGAGTTTCAAAAATTTCAAGATAGCAGGTCCTGTCCCTCCCTCATCTTTTGTTATCTAATACCGGGATACTACAGCCACCAGGAACTTGTGGGTAGAGGCTTCAACACTGCAAAAATGATTCATGGCGAAGCTATGGTCTTTCTCCAGCAGTTGCTCACTATCTCAAAAGGACAAAGTCAGGAAGGAGTAAAAACAAAAAAACAACCCTCAGATTCCAATGGGTCAACTCATCTGGGCTTGCAAAAACAGTAGTAAAGGAAAGGCTGTTGTCTTGTTGTTTTGACCGCATTAAAAGTGTGTAAACTCAGGCAAAAATATGCTAAATGCTGAAGGAAACAGTCTAAAAATGGTAACTGTCAGTTCGCCTCCTGGAGCTTTTCCTTCCCAGATACCTGATACTCATACAGAAAAGACACAAAATTACTTTTGTTTACCATCACATATGCACACCTATCCTCCTAAACTTTTTAATGATGGTCTTCCTTACAAAGTAAGTAGATGATATTACATTGTTAACACTTTTTTAAAAATAATTTAAAGTTGATACCTGTTTGTTTGTTTTTCTTAATATATTTTATTGATTTTGTACAGAGAGGAAGGGAAAGAGATAAGAGAGTTAGAAACATCGATGCGAGAGAGTCATCGATCAGCTGCCTCCTGCACACCCCACACTGGGGATATGCCCACAATCAAGGTACATGCCCTTGACCGGAATCGAACCCAGGACCCTTCAGTCCCCAAGCCGACGCTCTATCCATTGAGCCAAACCGGTTTTGGCTGTTAACACTTTTTGTACCTGGCCCTGTGACCTGAATAACACAGCAACTCCAGGAGCTATTTATGGAACAGAAATTCCGGAGTAAATATGGCACCTTATTTAATACATGTCGAGACAACGTACCAGAATATTCATTGCAGTGTCGCTTACAGTAAGTTTGAAAATAATGTCTAATAAAGGGACAATGCATAAAGTATAATATAGTCATACAATGGAAAACTATGAGTTAAAAAATTTAAGCTACCAGCTCAAATTAAGGTATCATATGAGTAAATCACAGACACAACGCAGAGTAAAAGAAAAGCAAGTTGCAGAAGGATACACTATTTACAAATGACTCTAAAACTCTCAACATTACCTCTGCCTTAGAATTTGTTATGATAGCAAAGTAAGATCAGGGAATTGGGACAGTTGTATAATCATTTTATGCACACTAACGACCTCAGAAATGTTCACTAAAAATAACAGAAAAGATAAGATTAATAAAGATGATGAATCGCCCTCGCTGGTTTGGCTCAGTGGATAGAGCATCAGCCTGCAGACTGAAGCGTACCGGGTTCGAGTCCGGTCAAGGGCACATGCCCTGGTTGCAGGCTCTATCTCCAGTGTGTGTGTGTGGGAGGGGGGGGTGCAGGAGGCAGTCCATCCATGATTCTCCCATCATTGATGTTTCTCCCTCTCTCTCCTTTCCCTTCAATAAAAAATAAAAATTAAAGATGATGAACTAGTACATAAAGTTCCCCCCATGGCAGTGAGGGAGTCTGGTTAAGTAATGGAAATCACTTGGCCGTTTAAGTCTGAAGAACTTAAACGCTGTCTCCATTCTGCTTACTCCCCAAGAAGCTTTACTTCACCAAGCTTCGGTTGGCTCACCTAAGCGGGGTTGACAATGCCTACGTGCAGGAGAAAGTGGGAAATGTATGCACAAGAGTTTTACAGAAGATCTGCAACTTGCTTTTCGCCTGCTCAGCCAAGAGATCGCGTAATAGCGCTCTCAATAGGGGGTGGAGAGGGGGGGCGGGTTGAGTCTGCACCTTTTCCATCTAGCTTGGTAAATGGTTAAGTCCGACAAAGACCACAACAGGAGAAGGCAACCCCTCACGCTCCTCTTCGCAACCCCCCATCCAGCTGCCTCCTATCCTTTCAGTATTTAGCACAGTGTCCCCCCAGAACCCCCCCCCCCAAAAAAAAACACAAAAAACCACCCTATGCACAAGGCAACTCCCAGGGGCGCACAAGCGAGCGTGGACCCGCGCTGAGCGCGCTGCCCTGCTGCCCGCTGCGGCCCGGCCTCACCTGTCTTGAACACCATCTGGTCATCGTCCTTGGACCCGAAGGTCTTCAGCATGGCCACGAAGAGCACCCCGCAGGCGTTCTGGATGCCAAACACCGACCCGTTGCACCACATGGCCGCCAGCATCACCAGCCAGCCCCAGCCGCCCTCGGGGGGCACTGGGGGCTGGGCGCCCGCCGGCCCCGCCAGCTCCACCTCCACCTCCTCCTTGGCTTCGGAGGGTCCCGGGCCCGAGGGCGGGGCGGTCCCCACGGACGCGGGACTGAGCTCCTCGGTCTTGCCCGACCCCTCTGCAGCGACGGGCTCCGCGGGAGAGGGCACCATGGCCCCGGCCGGCGCGGCCCGTGGGGCGCGAGTTCCCGGCGGCGGGCGGGCTCCGGGGCAGCTGCCCACAGCCCGGGGGGCGGGCGGGCCACGGGGACCCCGGCGAGGGCTGCGAGCGGAGAGCGGCTGCGCGCTGGAGCCTCTGGGTTCAGGTTCAGGTTCGGGTTCAGGTTCGGGTTCAGGTTCAGGTTCAGGTTCAGGGACCGGCCTCCCAGTCCGCAGCCCCGCACCCCCGCGGAGCCGGCCACGGCGGCGGCGGCGGCTCTTAAGGAACTGGGGGCGTGGCTGGGGGCGGGACGTGCCCCCCAGGGTCCCCGGCGGATTGGGCGGCGGGAGAGCGGAGGCGGGGCCACCACCTCTGCACGCGGCGAGCGGACCAGGTGGGGTCATCCAAGTGTAGGTCACGGGTGGCAGGAGCGCGGCTCCGGGGTGCGGGCGGGTGGGCCCACGGCCCCTTTAGCGTCCGCTCACTGCCAGCCTCACCACCAGACACTGTCTCTTTGTTTTGTTCTGTTGTTTTCTTTTGGCGTTCACCTCTAATTGCTAATGATAGCATGTAAGCTACATTATGCCACCTGCCTACTTAAAAAGAGAGTCGGAGAGATCAGAGACCTTATCTAATGACTTCGTTTCTCCTGCCGTTTTCGTACAAATGCCTACGAGTGCTTGGCACCTTGAAGATGCTCATTTTGGAAGACAGGCCTTAATACACTCAAGTCTTCAAGTAAACACTTTTGACAGGCGGCTAGGAAGCATTACGTTTCAACTGCAGCACAGTTTGCACTTAAAAGCTAACACCGGTAGGCAACTCTCCTGGCTCTCTGAAGCATGGAACAACGTAGGAGAAAGAAAGGAAGAGTGATTCGCTCTGTAACACTGAGCACGCTTATTAGTTTCTCAATTACTCATATAATTTCAAAGTCAAAATATGCTAATTATCTGGAAAGGGTCCAAGGTTTGGCTCAGTGGATAGAGCGTCAGCCTGCGGACTGAAAGGTCCAGGGATCAATTCCTGTCAAGGGCACGTACCTTGGTTGCGGGCACATCCCCAGTAGGGGGAGTGCAAGAGGCACCTGATGAATGATTCTTTCTCATTGATGTTTCTCTCTATCCCTCTCTGTAAAAAACCAATAATATATATATATATATATATATATATATATATATATATATATATATATATATATATATATATATATTTAAAATATGCTAGTTACTTTGCACGCCCACCATGGTGGTGGAATACACAGATGAGTGTGATGGATCACTTTTCCACCTCTACCCTTCATGAACTCGTGGAAAGGGTTCTGGGATAGAGCAGGAAGCTCAGATGATGTTTTATAAGCATGTTCAGCAAAGAGAAGTGGAATGGAACCATTGGGTTACATTTGAAACACTAGAGAAGACCTTTTACAGCAAGTAGCTTTCTGAGCTGAGCCCTGAATCAAACAGGGAACTTCACAGGCAAAGACAAGGGAAGAGAATTCTAGGTAAAGAAAATATATTGTAAGCTGAGGAAAGCAAGATGTGCTTGAGGAGCAGGGGACACAGCTCAAGTATAATGTGTCCTAGAGATGGCGTTGGAATGAAAAAAGAACAGCCACACAAGGGCACACAAAAACTGAATGCACAAGAATCTCATCCGTCATAGTTGGAAGTAAGGAAAAAGGGGAAGCAAAAATGTATATCAGTAGAGGATTAATTAAAGACATACTATATAACCTCTAAAAGTTATCATATTCACCTCTGTTGACTTTAAAAGTTGTCCACCACCCCATCAGCGTGGCTCAGTAGTTGAGCCTGGACCTATGAACCAGGAGGTCAGGGATCCGTTTCCAGTCAAGCCACGTGCCCTGGTTGCAGATTTGATCCCAGTAGGGGACCTGCAGGAGGCAGCCAATCAATGATTCTCATCACTGATGTTTCTGTCTCTTTCCTCCTCTCTTTTCCTCTCTGAAATCAATACAAATATATTTTTTAAATAAATTTTTATTGTTCGTATTATTACAAATGTTCCACAAATACATTTTTTAAGGTTGTCCACAAGATTTTTTTGGGCAAAAGAAGCACATCAAATAAATATCCAAGTGTCAATACTGACATAAGAAATGATTAAGTACATAAATGGGGGGGAGATGGATTGACAGATCTCTCCTACAGAACATTCCCAATAATATGCCAACCTCCAGGAAGTGAAGTTCGATATCTCACTCCTTAAATGTGGGCAGTGCAAGTTAGTTTCTTCAAAAAGAAAAGTATGGAAAAGGAGGGAATGCAGAGTGGCTTTTAGAGTTTCAAAACTGACAAACACTGCTCAGCCAGGTGATCAAGGATGTATCCTTCATATGATGCGATGAAAATGGCACTTTCTCTCTCTGATCTTCCTTCCCAAAACCCATAACCCAGTCTAATCATGGGGGTGAGAGGAAGAGAATAAAACATTCCTCAAAGCAATTGACCAGTACTCCTCAAAAGTCAAGGACATACAAATAAGCAAAGTCTGAGAAACTGTCACGGCCGAGAGGAATCAGAGATATGAAGACTAAATATAATGCTGAGATGGGATCCTAGAACAGAATAAGGACATTAGGGAAAAACGAAATAAATCTGAGTAAAATATGGAAGTTAGTTCATTATTCTTATTGGCTCATTAATTACAGTAAATGTGGCATACTAATTAAGATGTTAATAACTGAAGAAACTGGATGCAGGGATAAGGAAACGCTGTACTATCTTTGCAATTTTTCTGTAAATCTAAAACTGTTTTAAAAGCAAAGTTTATTTCAGCTTGTAAAAATGTATATGCGTGCATTTCAGTACATTAAACATGATAGTTTATTTTAAAATTTTCATTTTAGCCGAAGCCGGTTTGGCTCAGTGGTAGAGCGTCGGTCTGCGGACTGAAAGGTCCCAGGTTCGATTCCGGTCAAGGGCATGTACCTTGGTTGTGGGCACATCCCCAGTACGGGGTGTGCAAGAGGCAGCTGGTCGATGTTTCTCTCTCGTTGACGTTTCTAACTCTCTATCTCTCTCCCTTTCTCTGTTAAAAATCAATAAAATATATTTTTTTAAATTTTTTCATTTTACATATCAATGCTTGTATATATTTGTACAGAGGCTATGAAATGTTATTTTTTTTAATATATAACTCATTGTCAACATGTTTTTCTATGTGTGTGCCAATATTAATTCTAAACAGTATATAATATACCCTAATTTCAGATTAAAGTTTGACACTTTTCAGAGAAGTTGATATAGCAGCAGCTCTGACTTAAACGGATGTTACATTTGTTTATTTTTTAGATTTTACACACAAATATATCAGGTCAGGAAATTTAAAAATAAAAATATTTAAATTGGGAATTTAGATACCCTTCTCCTCAACTATTATGTTACCTATTCCTTAAAGAAAAAATTTTATTTTCTACCAGTTACTCTTTCTCCAACTCACAAAAGACATCACTTACAAAATCTGATACAAAATCTTTCTTACTACTAACTTCATCTATTTGGCTCAGTTACTCCAGGGCTAAGTATTCTTCCAGACTGAGGTGGAAAGGAGGGGTGTATGCTGAAGTTTACCAATAAAAACTAAATTCCAGTTCATTTACACTCGAAATTGGCTGTGCTTCCATCTACACAGCTTTTCTCAAATTTCTAAGTTAGTGAAAGAAGAGCTCTTATGATGTGAAATGAAATAAAACGAAAGCACTTTGAAGATTATAAAGTGCCTTAAACAGTAAAATTAAAGTGTTTCTTTAAGCTTCTATGCTCCAAGAAAAAAGATATTCTGGATCCCAAATTAGATTCTGGACTGAACTTTTATTAAATCAGACAAGTTTGTGTTTAGCATTTATTTTTTATTTATAATAAAATGAGCATAAATTATAGTAGTTTTGGGCTGTACAACATAGTAATTTTACATTTATATACCTCACAATGTGATCACTACACTAAGTCTAGTAATTATCCTCACCGTGCAACATAATTACAATATTGTTGACTATATTCCCCATGCTGTACACTACTTCTCTGTGGCTTATTTATTTTATAATTGGAAGTTTGTGCCTCTTTTAGCTCTTCACCATTTTATCCCTCCCCCTGGCAACCATCAGTGTGCTCTCTTTCATTCTTTCTTTTTTTAACGTTTTTATTTCAGAGAAAGGAAGGAAGGGAGAGATAGAAACATCAATGATGAAAATCATTGATCAGCTGCCTCCTGCACGCCCCCTGCTGGGGATTGAGTCTGAAAGCCAGTCATTTGCCCTGACCAGGAATCAAATAGTGACCTCCTGATTTATGGGTCCATGCTCAATCACTGAGTCACACCGACCAGGCCAGTTTGTTCTCTTTCTATGAATGTTTTTGCTTTGTTCTCAGTTCATTTATTTTTTTGTTCATTTGTGGTGTGGGTGTGTTTTGTTTTGTTTTTTCGATTTCATACACAGGTGAAACCACCCAGTATTTGTCTTTCTCTGTCTGATTTATTTCACTTAACATTATACCCTCTAGGTCCATTCATATTGTCACAAATGGCAAGATTTCATTGTTTTTTTTAATGATTGAGTAAAATTTCATTTTATGTATGTGCCACATCTTCTTTATTGATGGAAACCTAGGTTGATTCCATAACTTGGTTGTTGTAAATAATGTTGCAATAAACATGGGAGCGCACATATCTTTTCAAATGAGTGTTTGTTCTCATTCTCTTTGGATAAATATCCAGAAGTGGAATTACTACGTCATATGATAGTACTACTTTTTTCTTTGAGGACTCTCCATACTGTTTTCCATAGTAGAGGTACCAACTTAAAATCCCACCAGTGCATATCCTCACCAACAATTGCTATTTGTTGATTTTTTGATACTAGCTATTCTGACAGGTGTGAGGGGGTATCTCATTGTAGTTCTGATTTGCATTTCCTTGATGATTAGTGGTGTTGAGCATCTTTTCATATGTCCATTGGCCCTCTGTATGTCTTCTTTGGAGAAATGTCTATGTTTTCTGCCCTTTTTTTTTTAATATCCTCAGGTGAGGATTTTTTTAAAAATATATTTTATTGATTTTTTACAGAGAGGAAGGTTAGAGGGATAGAAAATTAG